CTAAACTCTAAAAAATAATTTGATATTTAAATCTATAATATAAAAGGTGTACAAAGTTTCATGTTGTTACCTCATGTCCATTAAATGTTGCTATTTAATGACATGTTGCAATGCACAAGCATGTTTCAAAAAAATATTGAATCAACATAAATTAGAGAACAGATGAATATTTTAAGAACTGTAAGGAGTTGGAGATTCCAACTTTCACATTTTTCTGATTTTCATAAACCCACATTAAAAAAAAATTAAAAAATCTAAAACATGGAATGTTGTTTTTTTAGCTTTTTTTACTGATTTGACATGGAATGACCCATACAAATATATATTGAATGACCCATAGATCTATTGAAGTTGATAATATGTCTATGAAATGTAGATAATTCGTTTTAAGAGAATAATATGATAAATTTTTATCAAACATAAATTTAGACAACAAATAATTTAAACTAATTCATATTTTTGTTTATATATTATGTTTTATATCTTCTTTTTTTAATATTATTTTATTTGATAATTTAGTTCTTTTACCTAATGTTAGATTACTTGTTAGACTTATTACCTAATGTTAGATTACATTTATAATTATAATACTATGTATTTACATAGTATATGTAAATACTTTGTATTTACATAGTATTGAGATTTCAATGCTATAAAAAGTTGAATAAAACATTAAACGTTTTAATAAATAAACTACAAAAATATTTAAATAATGTAAGATTTTTATTTATTATAATGTTTTATTAAAATAAAAACAATGATAAATAAAAAACGCTTTATATAAATATTAAACAAGATAATTAAAATAAAAACGCAAAAATAAATGTGTTATTTTAAATTCTAACTGAAAGAATTTCAAAAGTAATTAAAAAAAATAGTTTAATGTTTTATAATATTTATATTAAAGAAAACAATTGAAATAAAATCAGAAGACAAACATTTTATTTAAATTCTACATGAAGTAATTAAAAAATACTGGAAAAACGAGCATATTTTGTATTTTAGATAAAATAAAAATAAAATAAAATTTGTTAATAAGGTCTTTTCAGTTGTATTGCCTTTTTTACACAGTGTAACTGGGCTATATAGAGCTCCTTGGTAACTGTGACATTCCTTTTAAGCATTTGAAAGTAATGTCACAGTCTCCAAGGAGTGTGACATTTGGTGGGGCTGAAGGGGCACTGTGTACTGCTGTACACTGTGCCCTTTTAGCCCCATCAAACGTAGATCATGGTCTTCTTTGGATATCAGGCTTGATTCTTGACTTAGGCATATCTCCTGAAGTGACTCATTTCTTTCTTTGCTTCATATTTATGTTAAGCATGCTTTGCGATAAAACGTCGGCGATGTGAATTTTACGTCGTCCAAAAGCGATTTTGCATGTAGCTAGGGCTATTTGTGTTGAGCAAAAAAAAATTTGTTTGAGTATGATTAAAGATATTTTTGAGCGGAATTTTAATGAAGTAATTTACGATTATTTTAACATTTAATAAAGTATTTTAAAAACCGCACGCAGTTGATATAAAAGTTTGAATTACAAAAAAATTAAATATGCTCATTATTTACAAGTAGAAAAAATTCAGATTAAAAAAAAGTTTAAATCTTTTTAAGCTAACATTTTAATAAAATTATTCAGCAATAGCAAAGTTGTCGATAAAATTGAACAAAAATACTTTCTTTTAGTTTTAGATTTTTAACTTAAATAATTATTTTATGGGGGTTTGGTAGGTTTTAAAATTATTCCATAGATTTAAAAATATTTATTAACTGTTAGACGTATTTAAAGTATTTAAGAGTAATTTTAAGGAAATATTTTAAAAATTGGCAGGCACAAATAAAAAAATAAATAAAAGGATTAATATTTAAACGTATTCTACTTGATTCAATAAAAAAGTACAGTTATTAAAATTTTTGTAAAAAGTAGTTTTAAAAAAATTACTTAATTAATAACAATTGCTTTTTTGTTAAAAGTTACCAAAACTCAACAAAGCGTGCTCAAGAACAGCTGCTGAAAAATAGAACGTCAATAGTTTGATAAGTTTATATTACCTGGTTTTGTTACCCGGTTTCTACCGATGTAAAGCGAATTTCCGAAAACACTCTGAAAAGGGCTCAATAAAGGTAAAAAATAAAATAAAAATCAGTTTGCAACCTGTAATTATAAGCCATTTATTTATAAAATAAAATTAATTCTCATATTTAACCACGTAATGTTTTCTTTTTTTTATTTTAGCGCACCTTACATTAAATATTGTTCAATATGCAAATTTTTTCGCTTAAATATATTTTTTATACCTTTAAGTAAAAGTGTGTAAAAATTTTAAACTATTTTTATTATTGAATATTATATATCATTAAAAAGAGGCTAAATTCCATTATTGTAATGCTGATTACAATAATGGAAATTTCATAACAGAACAACAATTCTAGAAAAAGTTATGCTCATTTAAGTAACAAAATTTGATTACAAGGATCGCTTAAAAAAACTGCGACCAGTTTTAAATTATCAGTTTCGGCTAACAGTAGTTTTGTTATGGAACTTTGTTGATAGAAGCGCAATATTTTGCTTTATTTACAATATTTTAACTTAGGTACATATTCTGCTACAAAAAATTAGGTGTCTGCTACATAACCTTTTTCGATAAAATTTGGCATGTACGTAGAAAATAAGTTTTTAAATTTTTCTCAATAGTTTCAAAAATGTTCTCAACATTCTTTCAATATTAATTTGGCAAGTGATCAACAACAAAGTTTTTAAGAAAAGTAAATTCATTAAAAGTGGTTGTAACTTCAAAAAAATTTATCCAAAAAGAAGTTTAACTCTTTTCCACTTTTCAAAAAAAGTCTATGCTGATATAAAATTCTAAAGAATAACACAACAAAAGACATTCTTACAACTCAAACGCTAAGCACGCTTTGATAAAGTAGTCGAAGATTTTGATTACGTAATCGGTGCCGTAACTCATTGGATACGCACGTACATACTATAAGATTTTTATTCTAGCATTTTATTTTATTTTATTTTACTAGAAATAAAATTCCTTGTAAACATTAAAAATCTATTCTAAATGTTTGTTAAAGTTCTTTAGTAATACGAGTGATTGTGCTTATCAACCGCTTTATGAAAATAAATAAAAATAAATAAATAAATAAATATTATACAAATTCGCTGGTAAAAATATTAGCTATTGCACAGTTTTTAATCGTACAATATTAAAATTTCCAGTTTATTACTCGCTGACTTTTTAAAAAGGAAAATAATAACTTGAAAAACTTTAAATTACATATTTGAGAAGAAAAAAAATCAAGTATTAGCATATTTTATCTTTTTTAAATGTTTAGTTATAATGTTTTTTATTCGTTTAGTATAGACAAAACGTGTTAAAAGTTGAGAAAATAAACAAATGTTTTTACATTTTAAAAAACAAAACATTCCAAAACATTTTAAAATAATTACATTTTGACATTAATGATTTAAAGTAGTTTCGCGGTAATTAAGTAAATTGGTGCAGTTAATGTCGATAAATATGAAAAGCAAATAAAAAAAAATTAATAACATCAAAAATCATGTCGTGCTTATGCGTCGCGCAGTTTTTATTCATCACAAGGCCTGGTTAAGCTCTTGCATTACCCAGGCTCCTGATATTTCAGCAAATCCTATTGAATAAAGATGATTGAGAATCTTTTATAATCGCAGCTCATTTTTTCAGCCAATTTACTTGTTTTGTTATACTTTTTTGGCATATGTTCTATCTGAATGCAGTATCTTCATTGAATGCACTATCATTTCATCAATAGCATTATCACCAGGCCTTCTCGTAAGAGGAATGCGATCGCATGTCTTATATGACTACGCATATAGTTCTTTGTTTTTACAACTTGATCACGGCTTTTTGCAAGTTTTGATAATTAGCGCATTTAAAAAATGCGTTAAAAAATAAAAAAAGCAATTTTTAAATTAATTGATTCCATAATTACAATTAAACTCCCACAAAATTTTGTGAGTACTTTAATGCAACTTAATTAAAGGCAATCGTTGAAAAAAATATTTACATTAGAGTTTAAGGCAAAATGAGTACAGAAGCTATCAAAAAATAATTACAAACCATTTTATCATGGAAATATAATTTCTAATTAAGAAATTATTTACTAAAAAAAAAGGAATTCCAATAATCTTGAAACAATCGCATCTGGCAACGATTTTTTATCCCAGGCCATGATATATTCTTTTTTTTAATGAACGTTGACTTGCGTATCTTTATTTATTGACAAACATCTAATTTAAGAGATTTATGTCAAATAAAATTCAAATAATTTTTATTCTAATTAATAAGTTATAAATATATCAAAGATGCTTGGTAAATTTATTAAATTTTTATTTTTCAAAAACATTTTTTTTACACATTTGCAAGGTGCGCGTAAGTTAATAATAAATGTACAATAAAAAAACTTTTAAAAGTGCAAAAGTTTTAATATGCAAACAAGCATTTCACTTTATGGAAAATAAGAAAGTTTAAAAAAATTTTATTTATTGTTAAATTTTATTTGTAATGAAATCATTTGCTTTAAACTTTTAATGTAATTGCTAAAAACATAAAAGAAACCATAGTTAAACGTTACGATCGCTTTTCTCAATAAAAGAAAGCAATCGAAATGTTTGAGCATGGTTTCTTTTGAAGTTTTTGCAAAAGCATTTATTTTAACTAAAATTATGTATGCTTTTGTGAGCGCAAAAATCATGCTAAAATATAAATACTTTTTTCTATAGCGCATTTAATAATTTTACTTAAAAGTGACGCTATTGAAAAAAAAACATTTTAACATTAATTTAAGTCTGTGAAATCAATTGTTTTTTATATTAAATATTTGTTTTTTTTATAATAAATAAAAAACACATATTTAATATGGAAAACGTGACCAAAAAAGTTGCTGAAGTAATATGTCTGTTTTGAAAAATCCTAATCAAACGGCAACGTTTGCATAAGCAAAATTAAAGAAACATGATGTTTGTTTTTTTGTCTGATTTTTAAGAAATGCGCGGAAATTTGTGGATTTGTCGCACCTTGTATTTTATTAATTTTTTTATAAAATTTTAAACTTGCACCACAAAATTTAAATTTAAGTTACTTACGTTTTTAAACATCAATTTCTAAAAAAAAAAAAAATCTGAGGGGAAGGGGGACCCTTTCCTTCACGATGGATTCCCTTTGTATTAGCCTAATTATTCAGGGAAGGAATGATAAAGATTATTAGAGCTGTGATAATTTTTTTTTTACTTTTGCTTACAATTAAGTTTACATTAATTAATAAATGTTTTGATTTTTTTTTTTTGGTTTTTCTTTTATTCATTTTATCATTCATTTAATATTTTATTTTTTTAGAATAATTTTTGTATTATATATTATTTTAAGGATCTTATTCTCTTTTCAGTTTATGGATTGTTTGGTTTAATTTTAATTTGCTTTATTTTTTCAGCGTATTTTTTAAACGCGTTAATTATCAAAACTTGCTACGAGCCGTGGTCAAGTTGTTAAAATAAAGAACTTTATGCGTGGTCATATAAGGCCTGCTATCACTATCATAGCACTATCACTATCATGTAATCTTCATTGAATTCACTATCTTTATTGAATGTATAATAATGTGGAGCAAGTTGTCAACATCAAAATTATCATTTTTTCGATTTTGCAAACCATTGCCATGCTGCAATAAACAGCATTTTCTGCCTATTTTGCAAATTCCCAAACTGTTACAGTAGCTTTTTGTCTCAATGAAAAGCAAAAAAGAAGTTGTTAAAAACATTGATTTAATAAAAGGTAATTAAATGTAAATTTTTCAAAAAGAAAAATATCACAGTTTTGTAGTGCAGCAAAAAAAAAAATATATATATATATATATATATATATATATATATATATATATATATATATATATATATCAGAACAATCAAAATAGCCCAAAATCAGAACAATCAAAATCAGAACATTGAAAATAGCCCAAAATAAAAACAATACAAATAAAGTTATTATTGTACTTAAGTTTGCATTATATATTGTAATACAAAGTATGTATGAATTTAAAAGTATTTTATAATCTGTACATGAAATAAGTCTTTAATTAAGTCTGAATTAAACTCAGTTTTTAAATACCCTAGCTCTTCCCTGCCCCTCCCTTCCAATATTTTAAGTTGCTAGTTGGTTTTTAAATATTTAAGTACATAAAGGTTTTTTTATTTCATTTAGGTCCTCCTTGATGATGTTACATTGTTTCTTTCAAAAGACTCAGAAGAGCAAGGTAAGGCATCTGAAGATCGTACTGATTGTGCAACAGCTTTGCTCCAATCACTTCCATGTTCGCGTTATGCAGTGCTGGAAAAAATTGGCGAAGTGTTTTTTCTAGAATCACAGCATTACATTGTTGAAGTTGAAAGGCAGCACTTGGAAGGTTGCTATTATTTTTAAAGTTTTAAAAAAATTTCAAAAGTTTATTGAAACAAGCTTTTGTACATAATGATTTGTTTTACCTAAAGATGCTCCGCCCAATTTTGAACCACTTATGTCTAAACGAAGTGCTCAGATAAAAAAAATTCAGCAAGTTTTAGCTGTTTCAGTTGAAGCAAACTCAAAAGCGTGGGCTCCAATGATATTTCAGGTATTCCAAATAAAAATTTTTTTAAAGTTTTAAATATTTTATAAGTATTTTAATAAGAGATTTAGGAGTTGTTATATCTAAAGACCTAAAAACCCATGCACATTTAAATTACATAGTAACAAAAGCAAGTAGTATACTTAGGCTTTTGAAGCATACGTTTCAATCAAGAAACGAGCACTTATAGATAAGACTATAAACCATTTATATTCGCCCGCATCTAAAATTTGCTGTCCCTGCTTGGAGACTATATCTAGAAGGAGATATCTTTAAAATTGTTCAAGTTCAACGAAGAGGTACGAAAGTTGCGCATTGTATGAAAAATCTTTCGTAAAAAGAGCGAATGAATAGTCTTAATTTAATGCTGGAAATAAGAAGAAATTGTGGAGATCTGATCCAAATGTTTAAACTAAAACATTTAGAAGTAGTAGAGTGAAATTCACCTTTAACAGTAAATATTAAAGGAAATTTTGTGTGAGAGATTGTCAAAAACGTCAGACATTTTACATAATTTTTTTATAAACTGAATTGTCAAGGAGTGGAGCAATCTTCCGAATGACATTAAAAAATTAAAATCAGTCTATGAATTTAAGGTTTTACTTAACAGGCTAAGCTTGGGCTGCTATAGTGTACCATCTACTGTTGGTGGGCTGCACAGTTAATTTATATAGATTTATATTTACAAATACTCTGTGAAATATTATTTATGCAGAAATATATTACTATTACTAATAATACTTTGGTTTAAGATATTAACTTGTAACAAAATAATGTAATTTTAGACTGTTACAGAAATCTCTGCAGACTGTTACAGAAATCTCTGCAACACCTTTTCTGTACATTAAATATTTTTTCTAGACAACTTTAACATGGCTGTTTGGATGTTTCAACAATTTAAGTGTTTTAAAAATGCATTCAAAAAATTAGGTCAAACAAAACTAAAAAAAAAACAGTATTAAAATTTTAAAAGTAATTTTATCAAAATAGAAAATAAAAAAAAGACGGCTTAAAAAAATAAAAATCATTTAAAAGCTTTAAAAAACTTTAGAAAAGTGTCAAAGTTATGTATTCTAAGCATCATTATAAACATTAATTTTTAATTTGTTTTTTTTGTATTTTCAACACTAAACGTTTATTAAAAATAGTTAAAGTTTTTTTTTTTTTTTTTTTTATGTTTAGTTTAGCTTAATTTTTTTCAATCATTTTTTAAAATACTTTTTTTAAACAATATTTTAAAACATGCAAACAGCCATGGTCAAGTTGTTATAACAAAATAATTTATGCTTGGACACCGCACATGTTTCCTGTAACAGCCTGGGTGTTATATAATAAATATTGTAGAGTGATTTTTTTTGTGTGTGTGCAATTTATTGAAAATTATGCTCTGTTTTAATTTGATTTTTATCAAATTATATAGTGGGCAGTTCAAACTACTAGTCAGATATGTGGACAGTATGGAACCAAAAGACGTAAGATTTATATAAATGTATTTTGTACTTATTAAGAATTTGTTAAACAAACCCAATGGTAGAAGAGAAGCAAAAGAAAATTGGAAAACCTTTTAGGACCATTTTACACCTAGAGTCACTTCACTTTATTTATAAAATATTTTGTTTAATTTTTTTTTTATTTACTCAAGTAACTAATAATACTGATTTCTATTTTATCAACCATTTTAAAAACTTGAATAGTGGTTGTAATCCCAGGATACTTGTAATTTTGGTAATCCTAAAATCATGGGAATGTCCACTATTTATCATGGAATACTCCGTAAGATCAAATAAAATGAAGCAACACCTTATAATAACAACAAGTTTTTTGTTGCAATAAGATAATTTGCATTTATTAAAAAATTACAGAAAGTAAAGTTGTGTATTTTCAGTTGCACTGTAAAAAAGTTCTGGAAAAAGTTTTATTTTGTAAACAAAAATTTCCTGCAAGTTTTTGCAAGATGTCATGTTGATTAGTATATACACTATTTAAAAGTGTTATACATTATCTTCTTTAAAAAAGAATTTATCAAGGTTTACATTAAAATAGAAAATGTTTAACACATTTGTGGTGCTTTGTGATTTGAATTATTATATAGTATGGTTGTTATTTGTTTTATTAATTTATTGTATAATACAACTTTATGTTGTTTGCAAAAAGTTTAATTATGTATACACCTTTCAGAATTTCCTGGCAGTTTTTTCAAAAACCAACAATTCAATAAATTATTTTAAAAGTTAGTGGGGTACAATTTTACAGCCGACATTTTATTAATTTTGTACTTACCAAATTATAAGATGCTGACAATGACACCAGCAAGACATTAAACTGAAGCTTAGACCGTTACGTTACAAGTAGAGTAAGAAATAGTTACATCTGCTTTTTTCATTTAAATGCAAAAAATATGTCCAAATGTGTACAATGTTTACAAAATGGTTCACATGATTATTAGGAAAAAGTCTTTATTTCTAATGACCGTGAAACTGACTTGTGTAGAGGATGAACAGCCATTTTCTTCTGCTGGACTATTTGGTACAAAAGTTGTTCAGGCAATAAAACTTTAAATGCATTGTGCTTATTGAAGTTATATTTGGAAAGTATAATATATTTTCTTATTACTTAGATAATTTTCTTGCTTTTTTCTTTTAGCAATGTGTTTACATTTTTTTTTGATTTTATAATCCTAAAATCAATCCCCGGATCCTGGGACTGGTCATTTTTGATTCTAAGATTCTGGGATTGAAAAAGGCCTTTGAAATTGCAATTTCTAGTTTTGTAGAAGGTAATTGTAATATGTCAGAAAATGCTTTTTATGGCCTGTCTTTTTATTTATAATGTTAAAAGAGTTACTTTTCTTTTCAAGCTCCATCATTTATCTAGTTTTTCATCATTTAATTTTTATCATAGTTAATTTATCATTTATTTAAGGCCATACATTAGCCTTGTATCTAGGACCACATGTAAGCAACAGCAATTGTTTTTAAAATGATGTGTAATAAAATATATTTGTTGTAAATGGAGAAACCTTACTAATATTACCATTTAAATAAACCATTTTGATTTTGTGAACTTTTTTACTTTTTATTTGATGTTATTTAAATGAGATGGTTATCTTGATTCAAAACCTTTAATGTGGTTGAGCAAGTATATATTTCAAATTAGGATATGAAGGATATTCAGGTAACTTGGTGCACTATAAATTTATCAACACTATTATTATAAATGTGAATTGACAACTTCTATAAAAAAGCAAATTACATACAACAACTGATATTTAAGGCCACTTACAACAAAATTTACTTACATCTACTAATGGGCTTTTGTTAGGAAGAGGTTTTTTTTGTTAGAAAGAGGTTTTTTGGTTTAAAAACGCTTTACCCTTGTGCCTAGTTTGCACTTACAAATAGTTTTGAAATGTTAAAAAATGTTATGCAGGGTTTAAAGTTAATTTGCTCTATGTGATCACATCAAATTCAACAACAAGATATCACAATTTGATTATCTTTTTGTTATGTATTTAATTAAATATTTTCAATCAAGATTATTAATAATTATTGATAAAATTTATCAGTTACCATTATTTTTAAACATAATTTATATTCATAAAAAAATTTCATCAAAAAAACTTTTCACAATATTGAGTTAATGTGAATTTTAAAATCCATTTGTGAAAAGAATTTTCTTAAACAAAAACTTTTCTAATTTTTTAAAAGAAAAAAAATTTAAATTCCTTTAAAACTAAATGTAAATCTTTATATTTAAAATCATATTTAATTTAAAGTCTACTAATTCAAAAAAAAAAAAAATCAATTAATGTAATATAATTACAAAATAATTAGATAAAAAATAATCTTTATTAATATCACAGAACAACTAGAGTTTGAATTTGGAAGCAGAAAAGTACCTCACTTTAATGGCAGCAGCAGCAAGTACCTTAATTTTCATACACAAACCAGAAGTATAATATTATAGATGCAATACTGTGAGTTTATGCAAATAATTGAAAACTTTTTTGTTATCATGTTGTTTATTTGCTTTAACAGACTCATCAAACAATTAACAGACTCATCAAACAATTAAAATTGCCGGAGTATTTCAACAACACCAACAAAAATAAAAAAATAAAATTTAACTTAAAAATTCAATATTAATGTTGGTCATCAACATTAGGTTGATGACCAACATTAATATTGAATTTTTTTTTACAAAGCATATCAAAAAAGTTTTCGTGAGACAGTAAATTGTCTAGTAACTCAGGCAGAGTATGAATTTTATTTATCAATGATGCTCCCAGCATATAGATTTACACTTTTAAATCAGGAACTTTTAAATCAGGAATTGGGAACATATTAGTGATTTGGTACCAGGTTTACATTTGTTAATGATACAATTTAATGAAATGGCTAAAAATGACAATAAAGAAAAAAATATTTTGATAGTTGTTGATAAATGTGAAAAAACAATGTGATATCTGCTGTTTATACAGCTGCTACAGTTTTGAATGTTTCTAAACTTTATCTCTAATATCAACAATGTCATTTTTATATAATTATTTTTATAAATTTAAAATATATAAATAATTATATAAAAATGCTAAAGTCATTTTTAAATAATTATTCTTATAAGTTTATATATTTTCATATACTCAAGAAAAAAAAAAAAAGTATTTAACAAAAATTTGGCGCCTTCGAAGCCTTGGTGCCTGGATGAAAATCACCCATTGTTTCTGTCTTCCGCCGGGCCTTTTTATAAGTATATATAGATTTTTTTATTTTATTTTTCGCCAAGCCACTTAATAATAAGGATTAGAATGTTTTTATAATAAATATAAAAACATTTTAATCTTTTAATTTGCGTTTTTGTGGTTTACTTTAAGAATATATACTCTTGCTTAGTCGTCCTTAATATTTATATTTAAATGTAAACTTTATGTTTGTTTGCTTTTAAATTAACTTTGAAAACCAGAAAAAATTTAATAACTTTTAAAAAATAAAAAATTTAATTGATAGATTGCTAACCCTAACAAAAAACCTAAATTACTTTGTAGCTCTTCGCATGTTCTACCTATTTGTCAGTTGATGTAGTAGTACTCTGCATATTTTTTATCAATTTGTCAGTTGAAGTAGCAGCACTCCTCGCATGTTCTGCCTTTTGTCAATCAATGAATGTAAATAGTAAAATAAAATGAAATTAAAAACATTTTTATTTATCAAGTTGCATTTTTGTTATTTTTAAAAAATGATAAAATTTAATTAGTTTCCTCAGTTAACTTTAATGGCTTTTACATAAAATGGACTTGATTTAGTCATTTTTAAAGACAAAGAGTTGTTAAGAGTTGTTATATGTATATACACATATATAACTATGAATGCATGTTTAGATTAACACTGACATCACACTGAAATAGCCAGCTGCCAGGGGCATTGACTGAGGTTCGGCATATGCTGCAATCTTTTATTCCATTATACTTTGTTTGTTTTTTTTCATTTTCTAAAAATGCTGCATAAATTAATGTAACAAAAATAGAGTAACAGTTTGTTACATAAATATGCTATAGTAGATATATATGTGTGTGTGTGTGTGTGTATATATATATATATATATATATATATATATATATATATATATATATATATATAATATATATATATATATATATATATATATATATATATATATATATATATATATATATATAAAGTTGTTATTTTTTAAAGATTTTAGTACATTTTCAATTGGAGAAAGATTTCAGTTGTGGTTAAATTGCTCAGGTAAATTTATTTTAAGTATTCGCATTCAGTTAATCTAAAAAAATGAAGAGTTCTAATGCAGAGTGAGTGGGGTTGCCGTTTATTTTCTTGAAATTATTTTCTTAAATATTTTTCGGTTCTTTCAAATTCATTTTATTCTGTTATATTCATTTAGGTTGCAGTATTATTTTTGTTATGTGTTTTGACCATAAAAGTATCCTCGACTTTATCTGACAGTATCTCACCTAGTCTGTATCTCAAAAACAATCGAACTGAAGTTAGGTCCTTATTAATTCTTAAAATCGTGTATTCATGCGATAGTTAAGCATACATTATAAGCATATGCCTGGTTGTATTATTCTCAATATCTCTCTTTACATAGCTGTCTTGTTTATGCTTTTGAGCTTTTGTACTAGAATTTGGTTTCGTAGGTTAAGAGCGGTTTATAAACAACATTAAAAAAATAATGCATAAAGTAAATGCATTTATCAGGAGTTTTTTCATTATCAATGTTGGTAATTGACAAATATCCGTAAATGACAAAATCCGCTTTGAAGGGTACTTTTCTTAAGGTTTTTTTTATCCAAAATGCTATATTCAAATTGCATTCAGCATTCTTCTTTTTTTGTTGTTGTTGTTTTGTTAAAAACATCTGTAGTATTTCAGATCAAGAGATACTTTAGAACTGAACTTTAATCTTAACTAATTTATTATATTTATATGTTATGTTTAATATTATACATAATATGGAATAATAGATAAAAATTAGCTTTTTTAAAATTAAGCATTTTTTTTTTTACTTTTTTACCTATATCCAAAGAAATTCAAAAAAAATACTAAGTCCCTTTTATTTCTAATTCCTTTTTTATGCTACTAATGTTATCTATCTTTTTCGTTTTTCACTACTGCTTGCTTAATACTAATGCCTATGTATTTATTTTGCTTTTCAAACAAACTGCTCAATAAATTATAAGTTTTTTATAAGATGTTATTAATCTAAAAATCTCAAGATAATCAGCTGAAATTTCTAAACATTGAATCGTGTTTTTCCCTTTTGAATCACTTTTTTTGTTTTGGAAATTATTGAAAAAGTTCAAGTTACGGAAATTAATTTATAAGTTTTGGTAATTAGTTTTTGTTTGTTTTTTTAATTTTATTTTTGCTATTCGCTTTTATTTCAAAGTTGTTATAAAAGTTGACATTTCTTATATTATGCAGCCACCAATGTTCTTTTGGAAATAACAGTTGGCTGTTTGCAAAAAATGTATGTAGTTTCATGCTGTTTTTGTTTTTTTAAATGTATGTACTTTCATGTTGTTTTTGTGTTTTTTTTTTAAATTTCGTAATCATAAAATTAAAAAAAAACTTTATCTCAAAGCAAATTTTTCTTCTTGGTAAATTTGATTTTGTAGTTGTTAATAATGTTGTTTTTTTATTATTATTATCAAATAGTCAAATTATTTTTTTGTTTAATTATAAATTTCTTTATTGTCACAACTAATATTAAGGGTGGTATATTTGCAACACTAATATCACTGAAATAAAAGATGATCGCAAAAACAAAGCTAATAAAAAAGACTCTTAGGTACTTTAAACTGATATTAAAGAAAGGCTATGCAATGATGCAAAGATTAATGACATTTTTGCAATATAACTTGATGTAATTCCAATTTAAAAGACAAAATGTCCCTAATTTACGATTAACTATTAAACAAGGCAAGTCAACTTTAGCCCCAAATGAAAAGTTTTTATTGGGAGCTACTTTTGTAACTCATTTAAATATACAAATTTAAATAAATTTTTAGTTTAAGTTTTTCGTTGATTTTTTCAACAATTAAACTTTTGATTTTTTAAGCTTTTAAAAAAATAAAATTTTGATCTTTTAACAAATAATTTAAGCAGAAACAATAGTTTTGTAATTTTTTTGGTTTAAGAATTGGTTTTTTTCTTTCCTCAAATAAAAGTTATGCAGCCAACTAGAAGTAGTTGGCTGCATAATTTTTAGAATGCAATAAACACTTTTAGTTTATCTGTATTGTAAAAACAATCAGTATTGCTATTTCCATGTTGCAGTTATCCGAAACTTGATGTTAAAATTCTTAACTTTTTTTATTGTTGTTATTGTTTTTATTATCATTACTTTATCATTGGCAAGTCAATTAAAGTTACAAGGTGGCTAAAATTCTAGGTCAAAACAAAAGCAATTTAATTTTTATTTGTTGATTTTTAAACAAAAATTTTTTTTTATTTTTCATTTTTATTTATTTATTTTGCTTATTTAAACTTAAATATAAATACTAAAACTTAACTAAATAAAAACTTCAAAACTTAAAGAAGATTTTATGCGCAACACCAAGGTAGCATGCCACAGATGTCATTTTGACAAACTTCAAAGTTTTTTAATTTTTTCAGTTTTTTATTTTTTTATTTTTTCTATTACAAAATAATCAAAAGTAACTTGTTCACTGTACATTATTAAGTGTTCACCAAAGTTTTATATTATAAATGTATGTGTTATGTACGTTTGTGAGTGTGTGTTATGCACAGGTGAAATGCTCAGTTTGTAAAACAGGTTTGCCAAAATTGCAAAATATGGAAATGTAATAGTTTCATATAAATAAAAGAAAATATTGAATAAACTGTCATAAATTAGTTTATTAGGATTTGAATTTAAAAATGTTATAAATAGTTAAGTGTTAAAAAAGATAGCAAATAAAAATAAAAAAATAGATATACAGTTCAAAATTAATGGATAAACAGCTTTTATCACATAACATTTTCTCATAAAATTAGTTATTTTGTATGAAATTTCTTATGAGTATTTAAAATTATGTTACAATTATGAAAAATTTGGGAGTATATACTCAAACTTTTATTACATAAATGAAAATGGTCGGTTTAAAAGTAAAAAGATTGTTTCTCCTAGTAGCAACCTTGTCTGTCAAAGCTTATGGTTTGTAATTAAATGATTGAGTGAGGATGGTAACTATAATTAAAAAAAAAAAAGAGTAGAATATTTGACTTAAGTTGTTGCCCCTGACAGCCTTAAGAAGGTGAATACAGTAAAAAAAAATTTAGTGAATACCTATGTAAATACTTAATCTACTAATTTATTTATTTTTTTACTTTTTTTTATTAAATTTATTTAAATATTTATTTTTTATTTTTTTTATTTTTATATTTTAAAGTAGTTTATTTTTTAAAAAATTTAATAATTAATGTACATTTATTTTGCAGCATACTCAAAAATCAAGATAATTGTCTCAAATGTTTACTTAATGCAGCTCTTTCTAATTCACCATATTTTGACTGGGCTTTAGCACATATTTAGTAAGTTTATAAGTTTACATTATATAGCTGCATTTTTTTATTTTTTTTATTTCATAAACCTTTTAGAAATTTATAATAAACTTTTTTTAGTTCTGTGTTTCCTGAAATTATCCCATACAAGTTCCTTTGCCATGTGCTCGAAGCTTTTAGCAACCAGTCACGTAAAACAGATTTGCTTATTGAAACTATGCTTGCAGTATTTAACCATGTTGCTGATAAACATCATCTTCATAAAGCTGTTTTAAAATTAATGATGGTATATACATATTACATGTTTTTATTTTTATGCATATATACTTTTAACATCATTGCTACTAAACAGATTGCTTTTTAATTATTGGGCTATAATGAGTTGATTTATTTTATTTTATTTAAGGAAAGCATTGAAGATAAACGAAAGGCTGAAACTCATACTTCTCTATGTACTATACCATTTTTATTGCATATTACGATTAAACAGCCAGAACTTTTTTTGCCTCTTGTTGATTCAATAATGGATGCTTGTAAGAGTTTTTTTTTGTGTGTGTGAAAATATGTTAGGTGAGTAGATACAATGCTAAAGATACTTTTATTATTGAATATGTATAATGTTGTAGCAGCATCAAAGTTTAAAAATAGGTAGATAGAAAAAATAGGGAGATAAAGTTGGAACTCTATAAATAATATATATTTGTATATATGCTTACTTACTATATTTAATAATGGCACTGCTTCAATATACTTTGCACACTTAATTTAAAAATGCTGATTTTAATCCAGACAGTTTTTTTCTTTCAAAAAAAAACAAAGGAAAAAAGAAAAGGAAATAAGAAAAAAATTTTGTTGTAATAAAAGTTCTTTAGATCTAGATCCTCAATTGATGTATGTATTAAAGTCGTTGCAGATTCGTATTTTAGAATGTCATCATTGATGATGTTTTTTAAACAACATCAGTAATGACATAAATCTTCAAAGTAAAATTTTCCAACTTTTGATAAACAAATATTTAAAAAGTAAATTTCGTTTCAGCTGTTAAAAAAGGAGATAAAAACAAGTACTTTTTAAATATTTTTGAACAAGTTCAAAAATATTTAAAAAGTACTTATGATAAATAAAAAATATTTAAAAAGTATGTTGTAAAGTTAAAAGTGAAATTAAAAAAAAAAAAATTATATTTTAATATTTATTAACCTATTTGATTGTAAACATTTGATTGTAAACATTGTTTTTTTGAAGATTAAAAATGACAAATATAAAAGCAAATATTATTGAACATTAAAGACCAGTTTATTTAATAAATTTCTTTTATTAAACTAAAAGTTACCAACTTAGTCAAGAAATAATCTAATCAGTTAAACCTTCCATTTTATTTATACTTTCATGATTAAATTGATAAATTATTGAAGTTTATTTTTCCTAACCGTATTGTTTTACTTTGAGCTTAAGACCATAACAAACAAAATACTTTGACCAAAAAATTTATATAAATATAAATGTATGTGTATATATATATATATATATATATATATTAGGGTGGGGCATAAAACACCTAAGTCAATAAAAAAAATACCATAATAGTCTTTCTGGTTCCTTTTGATATCTGTATTAAAAATATATAATTTTTTTTTTTAATGGGTACTCCTATGGTCGGTCCCAGCAGTCCCAAATTTTGAAAATTTCTACTTTTTGTAAATAATGAGGGGGGCTGGGTCCTTTACAAATATTTCAAAGATATCTTTAAGGTTATTTTTGTAGCCTGATAAATCTTATTTAAGATTATATTTTGTTTTATTGCAAAAAATGAAATGAAATGGTCAGCCCTACCCATTTAAAGACATGCTGTGTAAATTTGGGAGTTAGGGGGGGGAGCGGTTCAGTTAAAAAAAATCCGTAATTTTTAAAATTTTCATTTTAAGTGTAAATAAAAACAATGTCAACAAGCAATGGTTATGGTAAAAAATCTCATCGTGAAGTTTTTCTTGTTGGAAAAAGAATCGGAACAATACCTATCACACAATTGCTAACTAAAAGAACTGTATTGCAATATTACCATTACATTGATCTTATACTAAGAGCTGATTTTCCAAACATTTCATCAGTTAGTATAGCTTCATGTCCACTTGGTGATTTCTTTACTGCACAGTGTGCTGAAATAGGTGGTTGTCTCCAAAAATGTTTACCATGCGTCCTTTATGAGGTGAAGAAAATTTGGCTAAAAGCAGGAATTCCTTTTGTTAATACTGACAAGCATATCAGGTTTTTATTATATTAAAATGCGTTTTAATTTTTAGTTTTATCCAGTTTAAAATTGATATTATACAAGTAACAATTATAAAGTCATAACATTTTACATATTTATAATAAATTACAACAGTTTTAATGCATTCTTTTACTTTTGTTTTAGAGACAAGATTGTTGACTTAGAAAAGAAGAGAAAAGATTTAGACAAACACAGGAATCGTTTAAGTAAAAATTTAGTTTTAAAAAGAGAAACTTTTTCAAGAATGCTAGAGGAAGTATTCGATGTAAGTCAAAACAATTGTGAACATACTAATATGAAAGATAAAACTAAAGATTTAAAAACTAGAAGAGTGGATGCAGATTTTCTTAACGACCAGAAAGGAGCGTGTGTTCAGTAAATGTTGGGTAAAGATAAAATTTCACAAAATGTTGTAAAAAATAAAAGAAAAAGAGAAATGAAAAAAAAAAATAAATCAAAGTATAAAAGAGACCATAATAAAACAGAAAGAGTTGGTTACTGAGAAATTTGATGACACAATGAAAAATTTAAATACTTTAGATAATGACCAAGATGAACAGTATCTACAACCTTCTATAAAAATTAAAAAATCTAATGCTGTTCCTCTTATAGTTCCTAAAAATATAGGAAAAGATTTAGCTCCAACAGCATCACGATATGGAATATGTTTGACTGCACTGAGTGCAACTCTTGCTTCTCTTATAAATAACAGTTCTATAACAACAGATGATTTTTCAAGTATAAAAAATCAAGTATAAGTACAACTGCCTGTAAAATTAAAGACAACTTTATTATATTGGCTGAGGGTAAAAGTCTTACCGTGCATTTTGACTCCAAAATTATGGTAGAATTGAGAGAAATTGGTAAAGAAAAAGTTGAAAGATTAGCTGTGCTAATCAGTTCACCAGATCTTTCAGAATCCCAACTTTTGGGTATTTCAATTGTAAAAGATGGCACTGCTGAGTCTCTTGGGAAAGCAATCAAAAAAACTTTACAAGACTGGGAGCTATTTGACTATGTTGATTGTCTGTCCTTTGACACCACAGTCACAAATACTGGTTGGCTAAAAGGTCAATAAGAGTCTGTACTCTTATTGAGCAGTAGAGAGGAAAAGCTTTGATTTGGATGGCTTGTCATCATCATGTCTACGAATTTCATATGGTAAATATTGAAAAGAAGTCATAAAATATTTTTATATTTATTTATTTATTTAATATTTCTCGATGAATATAATAACGATTCACCTTATTATTAAAATTTAGTTAAGTGATTTGAAATAAATATATTTTAGCACTTTTCAAGTGTTCTTACTGGAGGTAAAACAAGTGGACCAAATACTGAGTTATTTGAAAGGCTAAAGTGTAATTGGAAATCGATTCTTGAAAAGAAGATAAATTCTGATAACTTAAAGAGATTTGACTCAGAAAAAAAAATTAAATCTTTTTTGGAAAAGCAGGTTGGTTTGATTGTCTTAATTAGATTAATCTGTTTGATTATAAGTTTTAATAATAAACTTTCTTTATTTTTTATTTTAGGCTTCTGAATCATTAACATTCCTTCAAAATTGCCTCGATAATGATATATTTCCAAGAAATGACTACAAGTATTTTATACAGTTAGCAGTTCTTTGGTTAGGTGGCAAAGTAAAAGATTTTCACTTTAGATTTCCAATGGCTTCACATCATGCCAGGTTTATGGCACAGGGCGTTTATTATTTAACATACGACATTCTACAGCCACAATTCAGTAACTTATGTCCTGATATAATATCATTACAAGAGGGAAAGCTGATCCATGAAATTGGTTCATTTACAGCACTACTTTATGTTCCATAATTTATTAAAGCTCCTATCCCTGCCATAGCACCTTCTTTAGATCTAAAAGCCATTAATGAAATGATACAATATTCTGAATTATGTCTTAAACCAGCAGAGGCCGTACTAAAGTCACTTTTGGTAAAAACACAATTGGTATTTAAATGAAAGATTTATAGTTATGTGTGTTGCTGATAAATGCTTATCTGTAGATCAGCTACATAAATT